AACTGAGGACTGTTTCTTCGATTGCCAAGATATAGGATTAGGACCAAGAAATACCACATATCATGTTATTGACCTTCTTGTATTGATATCAGCAGCCCAATCAACATTTGAATATGCCGAAATGTGAGTATTAGAAGCTGAATAATATGTAATACCACATTGCAGTGTCCCTTGAAGATATCTAATTATCATTTTCACTAAGAACATGTGTGCATCAGTTAGATTTGTCATATATTGACATACAACATTCACAGAGTGAGCAATATCAGGCCTAGTGAAGGTCAAATATTGGAGTGCTTCAACAATACTCCTGTAAAAGCTTGGATCGGCTAAAGGTTGACCCTCAGACATTAACAACTGTGTATGAGGATTTGAAGGTGTTAGGTGCATGCCTACAACTCTCTATTCCTGCCTTTTTAATGAGCTATTTTGCATATTTAGCTTGACTGATAAACACATCACCATTGCTTTTTGTATTGAATTTGCAATCCCAAGAAGTAGGTCAACTTCCCCATGTCTTTCAAATAAAATATTTCACTCAGTGTAGTAATAACAGCTTGTACTTTGGAAGTATTTGAACCTATAAGAATAATATCATCTACACACAAAAGTAGAATGATAACATCTTTGCCATTTGTTTTAACAAATATGCTAGTATCAGATTGAGACACTATGAATCCCAGAGATGGTAGCACACTTGTGAATTTCGAATTCCAAGCTCTTGGAGCCTGTTTGAGTTCATACAAGGATTTGGATCCACAAAGCCTTGTGGTTGGATAGGCCATTGAAAGTGAAGAGCAATAGAGAGAATGAGCCGAATGGTGGCATGTGTGACCACCGGACTGAAGGTTTCGCAGAAATCAATGCCCTCTTGCTGATGAAAGCCATTGGCAACTAGGCGAGCTTTAAAACGCTCGATAGAACCATCAAAGTTCTTTTTGATGCGGTACGCCCATTTATTAGGTAACACGTTCATAGAAGACTTGTAGGGTACCAAAGTCCAAGTGCCGGTACGCTGTAAAGTGTTGAATTCATCCGCCATTGCTTGGCGCCATTGGGAAGACTTATTGGCCTGTGAGAAACATGTGGGCTCAACCAAAGTATTAGTAACGTTAGTGAGGCAAGCATATCTGGGATTTGGTTTTCGAATTCCTTGTTGACCACGCGTGATCATGGGATGAGTGGATGGAACAGTATGTGAAGTGGTGTTGGCAGGTTCAATATTCACATGAGTAGTGGGAGTTGGTGGGTGAGAATGGAAGGCTGGGGTAGATGACGGAAGAGTAGGTGGTGGTAGGGAGTGAGGGAGTGAGGTGACGACAATCGGTGTTGGAAGGGAATGAGGGGTCCGTGGGGTCGAATGTGGTTGGGTATAATGGAAGGTATCAATGTCGAGGACATGGTCCAACTGACTAGGGTTTGACAAGATCGGAGGAGCAAGTTCTTTACATGGAAAACTCTTTTCATTGAAAACGACATGACGAGACAGAAAAGACTTGCCAGTGGTAGGATCATAACATTTATAACCTTGATAATTTAAGGAGTATCCTAAGAAAATACATTGTTTTGATCGAAACTTAAGTTTAGAATCAGTGTAAGGACGTAAATAGGGAAAACAAGCACAACCAAATACTTTGAGAAAATCATACTGGGGTGATTTTGAAAACAGTTTTTGGAAAGGAGAGACGCCATTCAAGATTTTGGTGGGAAGACGATTAATGAGATAATTTGCAGTTTGAAAAGCGTCATCCCAGAAAGTGTGAGGGAGAGACGCATAAGCAAGTAAAGTTAAGCCAATTTCAACAAGATGACGATGTTTGCGTTCCGTGAGACCGTTTTGCTCGGGATGATGAGGACAACTGAGTCTATGATGAATGCCATGTTAAGAGAAAAGGTGTTTAAAAGAGGAATTGACAAACTCTCCTCCACCATCAGATTGAAAAAATTTAATTTTGGTGTTGAACATATTTTCTGCAAGCTTTTTAAAAATGACAAAGGTTTGAAAAACTTCAGATTTTAACTTTAAAGGATAGAGCCATGCATAACGAGAAAAGTTATCCACAAAAACAACATAATACTTGTAACCATTAATTGAATAAGAAGGAGAAATCCATACATCTGAATGTATTAATTCCAAAGGAAACGACTGGGAAGAAGATAATTTAAATGGCAACTGATGACTTTTGCCAAGGGGACATGATGAACAAAAGTCGTAGGTTGCATTACCAGTTAAAGGTAATTTATTTTGGGAAATGAGACTACGCAAAACAGAAATTGCAGGGTGACCTAACCTAGAATGCCAAATAGCATCCGACACTCGAACACCGACAAATGCAGAGACTCCATGGTGGACCATAGAAGAACTTGAAAATGGATAAAAACCATTTTTACTCCGACCTTGCAAAAGCGTCTTCCCCGTTTGAAGGTCCTGAACACGGTAGGAATTGGGATATAAAGTCAGTGAACAATGGTTGTCTTTGGTAAATTGATGGATGGAAATAACATTAGTAGAAGCATTTGGGCAGTGAAGGGTGTTGGGAAGGGTAAAGGAGTGATGGGGTGTGTGAATAAAAGAAGTGCCAACATGAGAAATGTGCAAACCTGATCCATCCACCACGCCATTAACATTGTCAGTGCCATTGTAGGGACGAGGATTCGAAACTTGATTCAAATCATAGGTGATATGTGCATTGGCTCCAGAGTCAAAAAGCCAGTTTTGAATGCCAGAGGGAGAGGCAGATGCCGGAGACGGTGCAGCAGCAACATAAGCTTGGAGATGTGGAGCAGAAACACGTCCTTCATAGGCCATATTGAGGCGATTGAAACAATCGATTGCAGAATGGCCGTGATGACGACATATTTGGCATTGGATACGGCCACCAGATTGGGTTGGAGAAGGAGGAGCACCTAGAACGCCATTATGAGGGTGTCGGAGTGGATGAGCATGGTGTTCCTGTCCTTGAGGACGAGGAAGAAACTGGCCACGGCCTCCGCGAGGAGCACCGTGACCACGGGAAGGTCCTGAACGACCTCTTCCAGCAGCAAGGGCAGTGGGCCCATTTTCAAACACAGTATGAAGCTTTTGACGTCTCTCGGCACCAAGAAGAAGAGCCTCCAAGGCACTGTAAGTGATGGCCTCATCCCGTGCTTGTGCAGAAGCAACAGTACTCTCATAAGCAGGCCCAACATTATTTAAAATAATGGCAACAAGATCAGAGTCAGTCACAGGAGAACCAGAGAGGGAAAGAGTGTCAGCAAGACAATTAATGCGATCAAGAAATTCAGCAATAGAGGAATCACCACGATGGGTATTCATAAGCTCACTACGCAATTGGAGGAGGCGGCCAGTAGACTGAGAAGCATACCTGTCACGTAAACAAGTCCATGCAGAAAGAGAACTTGTCTTACTAATAAGAGAGGCAAGAACTGTGGGATGGACCGAACTGTTGATCCAAGAGAGAACCATAGCATCTTGCTGAATCCATGCATCAAAGTCAGGATTGACTTTATCAGTGAGTTGGTCGGCATCATCCTTCAAGAAGGCAGGATGACATGAGTTGGTTCCATCGACAAAAGACACCAGATTCCTGCTGCGAAGCAAGGGCAACATCTGGGCATGCCATAGGGGATAGTTGGTACGATCCAACTTTATAGTCAGAAAATTGGAAGTATTTGGAAGAGAGGGAATAGCAATGGGATTTGAGGGACTTGAACTGGACGCCATAAGAGAAAAAAAATTAAAGCTTTTGGTCGTTTAGACTGTTAGCTCTGTGATACCATAATGAACTTGATATTCAATAATTGTTTTCTACATCCAATGCTGCAATGGACAACAAATTTTATATACATACACTGTTACATACGCATGCAATAAACAAATGAAATGCAAGTGGTGTCCTCGCTGCCCACGATGCAGCAACCAGAACACAAGGTGCAGAAACCATGTGATAGTCTTAGCTGTCAAGGAATGTTGTATCCATGTGCAACATTCCTTTTGTCCAGGTTGTACAGCTAGTCGGTTGCAGATTGCAGCGGGAAGGTTATGGTGGAATTGGTGGTGCTGACGTGGATTGGTTGTTAGGGTTTGGAGATTTATCCGAATTAGGTTTATCAGTTTCATATATATCTCTTCCTGCAACTCACCATGTAAGAATGCATTCTTTATATCTAGTTGTCTAATTTCCCACTTGTGACTTGTAGCAAGAGCAAGAATTAATCTCACTGTAGTATGCTTTACTACATGACTAAATGTCTCAAAATAATCTAGACCATGCTCTTATGTATATCCTTGAGCCATCAACCTTGCCTTGTATCTAGATATATTGCCATTAGGATTTTCTTCAATTTGTACACCCATTTACTCCCAATAGTGGTTCTATCATGAGGTTGAGGTACTAGAATCCATGTCCATTGCCCCTTAAGAGCATCAAACTCATCTTGCATAATCTGTTACCAGTTTGGATTGGTTGCTGCAATTTTAAAGCTCTTTGGTTCTCTATGATCAACAATTTCAGCTACAAATGAAAAACCACCACAGCACTAGAACCATCATCAATTTTTAAAGACTGTAACTCAGGTAAATTTGCATGAAAAGCATGATAATCTCTTCTTTCAATGGCTTCAGTTTGAAGTCCTGTTTTCATAGAGTGAGATCTTGAAGCATCATTAGTTGTAGAATTAGAAGTTTGATTCCAATCATTCACAGAGATGGGAAGTAATACCTGAAGTTGTGTTGGATCTAGGATAGGCAACAAGGGTGTGATTGAGATCTTATACCTCTACTACTTTGCTAACTTCATTGTTACTTTTTTGGTAAGTTAGAAGTCGTTTGATAACAATTTCATTTTTTTTTTTTTATATTCTGACATATATATATATATATATTATAATTATTTTCAGCTAAAAATATATTGGACCGACCAAAATATGTGACATTTTGGTTGTATTATACTAGGGTGATCAAGCATCAATCATTAATTGGGGGTGCCATTTACTTTGTGAAGGAGATGAGCAAGAAGTGCAATTCCTTGGCGTCCAAAAGCCAAATGATCGTCCGCCTTTTTCAGAATTCTTTACCTTCCCACAGTATTATCACCGAGGTCCACTACAGCTCATGAGTCTACGGTGGCCACCATGGCGGAGCTACCGCTGCTCGAGTGCAGGTTGAGCAGTATCGCAGCTGACATAGAAGTGACAATGGTGGAGAGCCATGCAAGCCTCAAAGTAAGATCCCAAAGGCTCCCAAAGCAGCTCTTGAAAATTGTTTTTGGGTTGCTGATATGCACCTCACCGTTCTCCATCTCAATGTTATCACCGCTGATGATATTGTGCTCTATTCTCTCAGCCTCAAGGTAATTGGAAAATCAATTCAAAATTTAATTTAGCGAAAAAAAATTTAGAAGATTAAGATGTAGGAATTTTTATATGTTTTTGGGATGAATCTTTAAAAATTAAGCCGGCTGACGATGAGTGCATGCTGACTTCAGTGGATGAAATTGCAACAGCTGTGCATGAGATGCTGGCTAGGATTCAAGAAGAAGCAATGCTGGATTTGAACTGATCATCAAAACCGAGCTTTTAATTAATCAATTGCCTTTTTTTCTTTCTAAATTTAATTATACCCTATGATGTGATAGACTCATACTTGGGTGTTTCTTCTCTGGTTGTAGACTGCTACCAAGTCATTCGGTTAATGTTTTCCTTAATTTCAGTTTAAGAAACTCTTTTCTTTAGATATAATAGACTGAGAGTGAGTCTTCTCTCTCATTTCATCTTTTCTCTTTTCTCTGTTTTTCATTTTAAATTTTTAGAACATCAATCCTCGCAACTAAAAATCATAAATTGTTAAAGAATGTTGACAATTAAAAATAAGAAAAACTAATGAAAATAGCTTAAAAACTTTGAGTTTTAACGATAAGGACAAAATAAAAGGTAAAGTGAATAGTACCAGGATTGACTTTTTAATGTAAAAATGTGGTTTTTCGTTAAAATGAACAGTATCGGAAGCTTTTCGTTAAATTTCCCTTAAAAATAGTGTGTACATCAACAACAACAACAACAACAACAAAGCCTTTTCCCACTAAGTGGGGTCGGCTATATGAATCCTAGAACGCCATTGCGCTCGGTTTTGTGTCATGTCCTCCGTTAGATCCAAGTACTCTAAGTCTTTTCTTAGAGTCTCTTCCAAAGTTTTCCTAGGTCTTCCTCTACCCCTTTGGCCCTGAACCTCTGTCCCGTAGTCACATCTTCGAACCGGAGCGTCAGTCGGCCTTCTTTGCACATGTCCAAATCATCGGAGCCGATTTTCTCTCATCTTTCCTACAATTTCGGCTACTCCTACTTTACCTCGGATATCCTCATTCCCAATCTTATCATTTCTCGTGTGCCCACACATCCCACGAAGCATCCTCATCTCCGCTACACCCATTTTGTGTACGTGTTGATGCTTCACCGCCCAACATTCTGTGCCATACAACATCGCTGGCCTTATTGCCGTCCTATAAAATTTTCCCTTGAGCTTCAGTGGCCTACGACGGTCACACAACACGCCGGATGCACTCTTACACTTCATCCATCCAGCTCGTATTCTATGGTTGAGATCTCCATCTAATTCTCCGTTCTCTTGCAAGATAGATCCTAGGTAGCGAAAACGGTCGCTTTTTGTGATCTTCGCTAGATTGCTCCGGTCATTAGTGTGGATAAGTATATAAATGGATAGAGATAGGAAAGCAAACACAAGATGTACGTGGTTCACCCAGATTGGCTACGTCCACGGAATAGAAGAGTTCTCATTAATTGTGAAGGGTTTACACAAGTACATAGGTTCAAGCTCTCCTTTAGTGAGTACAAGTGAATGATTTAGTACAAATGACATTAGGAAATATTGTGGGAGAATGATCTCGTAATCACGAAACTTCTAAGTATCGGAGTGTGGTGTCGTCTTGACTTGCCTTATCTGTCTCATAGGTAGATGTGGCATCTTCTCTGGAAGTACTCTTCCTCCATCCAGGGGTGGTATCTTTAACTGGTGGAGATGCACAAGGTAATGTATCAATTTCACTTGAAGCTTACTTGTAGTCTCAGGCTTGGTCAAGCGCGATACAAACCATGTAGTAGGAGTCCCCCAAGTCGCCGAGCGAGCTAGGGGGGTCTGCTGAAAGAGGTGACAGACAAGGTAAGCAATCAGAGCTCCGACTGATTGTTCACCTTCTCCCCATCTTGCAGCAGCATGAAGGATAAAGAGAAGAAAAATGAGAAGAGATGATATGAGATACTTTTGCTTTTGAAGAAGTAACTTTCCACAGGCTTATTCTTGAACTGAGCTGGAGGGTTTTCTGGTTTCCTCCAGAGTATAAGGCCGACTGAAGAATTTGAGGGTCAAAACAAGTCCATCAAATCTAGAGTACGTTCCACCCTGCTGATATGGGATACTTTTGCTTTTGACAGAGTAATGGGTGTATCGGCACGTGTGCTGTTACGCTTGTCTCCACATGCTTCCTTGTATCCTTCGCACTTGCCCTATCTGTTCCTCAAGCAGATGCGGAATCTTCCCTGGAAACATAAGATGTTGAAGATGAGTACTCGAGAGCAATGCCAGGTAAGTAATCAGGTAAGGGGTTCCAGGCAGTCAGTTCCTGGCTGGAAGCTTGATCCAAGTGCTGACTGATTGCTCTCTTTCTCCTTGTCTTGCAGGTAAAAACAAGGCCAAAGGAAAAGACAGGGAAAAAGCATGATATGGGATACTCTTGCTTTTAACCCTGATGATATGAGATATTCTTGCTCTAGTATAGCTTGTTTGCAGAGGTATTATCGGGGGGAAAGAAAGCTGAATATTTCGAAAGGCTTCGTTGGGAGTGCCCTCTCAGATATGATGAAAGGTTGAGCATTTTTGCAGGTCTGCCTGTCCGTTGGGGATGGAGGTCGACATATATAGGAGTCTCCCTAACAACAAGTAGTAATGCTATTCCTTTACCCTGCTTGGTCATAGCACGGTAGTGGGAGCTGCCAGTTTCACATGTTTTAACTCTGTCAGAGCACTTTGAAAAAGTGGTCTGTGGTATCTGGCTCTCGAGATTCGGAGAACGATGCCTTTTCGATTTTTGAGAAAGCAATCATGCTGGGGGTCTGGCTCTCGAGATTCGTAGAGCAGTGTCTCTTCGATTTTTGAGGAAGTAATCATGTTGGGAGTCTGGCTCTCGAGATTCGGAGGGCGGTGCCTCTTCGATTTTGGAGCAAGCAATCCTGTTGGGAGTGTTGTCTCGAATGTGAGTAAAGGTTGGGCATGTTTGCTAGTCTACCTTGCCACGAAGCACAAAGGTTGACACACAGAGACTTTCCAATTATCCAGCAATGGTACTGTTCCTTTACCCTCTCTTCGCTTTTGAGAAAGTAGTCATGTTGGGAGTCTGGCTCTCGAGATTCGGAGGACGGTGCCTCTTCGATTTTGGAGCAAGCAATCTTGTTGGGAGTGTTTTTTCTCGAAAGTGAGTAAAGGTTGGGCATGTTTGCTAGTCTACCTTGCCACGAAGCACAGAGGTTGACACACAGGGACTTTCCAATTATCCAGCAGTGGTACTGTTCCTTTACCCTTGTGGGTAATAATATGGTAGCTAGACCTTCAAAATTTATGTGTCTAAACTTTGTTAGTGCTGTTTCTTTGCTATTCTTTTACCTTTCTTGGTCAGAGCGATGTAGTGGGAGCTGCAAGCTTCACGTGCTCAACTTTGGCAGAGAACTTTGGCAAAGTTATCTGTGGTACCCATGAGCTATTGTTGCGTGTGGGAAGTGGGTGATTGAACAGTAAGATTCATGTGCTTTCTACTTCACCAGAAGTCTTCGACAGAATGCCCATAATTTCTGCAAAGCTGAGTGTGCGTGTGACAGGTGCTGACAAGGCTAGAAAAGTAGGTGCCTCTTCGATTTCTGAGATCGGCCCTCGTGGTCTCTGAGCAGCCCAGCTTTTGAGAAAGCGAGCGCCTCTTCGATTGATTCGGAGAAACGATGCCTCATCGATTTTTGAGAAAGCAATCATGCTGGGGGTCTGGCTCTCGAGGATTCGGGGAGCAGTGTCTCTTCGATTTTTGAGAAAGAAAGTAATCACGTTGGGAGTCTGGCTCTCGAGATTCGGAGGGCGGTGCCTCTTCGATTTTGGAGCAAGCAATCTTGTTGGAAGTGTTTTCTCGAATGTGAGTAAAGGTTGGGCATGTTTGCTAGTCTACCTTGCCACGAAGCACAGAGGTTGACACACAGGGACTTTCCAATTATCCAGCAATGGTACTGTTCCTTTACCCTCTCTTCGATTTTTAAGAAAGTAGTCATGTTGGGAGTCTGGCTCTCGAGATTCGGAGGACGGTGCCTCTTCGATTTTGGAGCAAGCAATCTTATTGGGAGTGTTTTCTCGAATGTGAGTAAAGGTTGGCATGCATGTTTGCTAGTCTACCTTGCCACGAAGCACAGAGGTTGACACACAGGGGACTTTCCAATTATCCAGCAATAGTACTGTTCCTTTACCCTTGTGGGTAATAATATGGTAGCTAGACCTTCAAAAATTTATGGGTCTAAACTTTGTTAGTGCTGTTTCTTTGCTATTCTTTTACCCTTCTTGGTCAGAGCGATGTAGTGGGAGCTGCAAGCTTCACGTGCTCAACTTTGGCAGAGAACTTTGGCAAAGTTATCTGTGGTACCCATGAGCTATTGTTGCGTGTGGGAAGTGGGTGATTGAACAGTAAGATTCATGTGTTTTCTACTTCCCCAGAAGTCTTCGACACAGAATGCCCATAATTTCTGCAAAGCTGAGTGTGCGTGTGACGGGTGCTGACAAGGCTGGAAAAGTAGGTGCCTCTTCGATTTCTGAGATCGGCCCTCGTGGTCTCTGGGGAGCCCAGCTTTTGAGAAAGCGAGCGCCTCTTCGATTTCTGAGATCGGCCTTCGTGGTCTTTGAGAAGCCCAACTTTTGAGAAAGCAAACGCCTCTTCGATTTCTGAGATCAACCCTCGTGATCTCTAAGCAGCCCAGCTTTTGAGAAAGCAAACGCGCCTCTTCGATTTCTGAGCAGGCGCCTCTTCGATTTCCGAAGCTCCGTCGAGTGCAGATTTTTATAGAGGCTGACATTAAGTTCCAAAGCACACTTGAATCTCCACCAGTAGAAGCTTCATTCTTGCACTTCTAAGATCTTGATTTGTCCGACCTCTTCTCTCTTCAACACCTTTGAAAATGTCTGGCCCCTCCGACCGTCGTTTTGACTTGAACCTTGTTGAAGAGGCAGCCCCGCCTTCTCCAGACAACATATGGCGCCCATCCTTCGTCTCCCCTACTGGTCCTCTTACCGTTGGGGATTCCGTGATGAAGAATGATATGACCGCTGCGGTGGTGGCCAGGAACCTTCTCACTCCCAAAGATAACAGACTACTTTCCAAACGGTCTGATGAGTTAGCTGTTAAGGATTCGTTGGCTCTCAGTGTTCAGTGTGCAGGTTCTGTGTCTAATATGGCCCAACGCCTATTTGCTCGAACCCGCCAAGTTGAATCCTTGGCGGCTGAAGTGATGAGTCTCAAACAGGAGATTAGAGGGCTCAAGCATGAGAATAAACAGTTGCACCGGCTCGCACATGACTATGCTACAAACATGAAGAGGAAGCTTGACCAGATGAAGGAAACTGATGGTCAGGTTTTACTTGATCATCAGAGATTTGTGGGTTTGTTCCAAAGG